GAAATAACACAACAACACAATGGAAAGGCAGCACTGAAATAACACAACAACACAATGGAAAGGCAGCACTGAAATAACACGACAACACAATGGAAAGACACCACTGAAATAACACGACAACACAATGGAAAGACACCACTGAAATAACATAACAACACAACATAATGCTTTGGGGCATCATGGGATCTATTGGTCCATCTCGGCTGTTCCATCCTCTAAATTAAATTAAAACATATTTTTTTAAATCTTAAATCCAGCCCTTATCATTCATATACTTATCAAGCTTTTTCTTCAACTCACTTAAAAATCTCCAGTGATACAAGTTTATAAACATTATATCTGATACCTTGTTAAATAACACAAGTAAAGTTGTGTGTTAGATAGCTATACACATAAATGGAATGAGTTAATAAATATTTATTTCTACAGCTAAGAGAACACACGTGCGTAGTCATTTTTCTGTGATAATCCATGGCACGACGGTGTCATCCCGGTCCAGTCTCCATGGAGACACTTCCGGCGTACGCTACCTATGAGTCTAAATTTGCCGACGTCACTACATCGGAAAATTAGTTCACTTCCAGGAGAAATTTCTGAAATTTCGTCTGTAAGTTCCTTGTCTCCTTGGAATGCCACCAGGTGGGGTTCAGTATTCTTGAACGTACATCCTTGTTTGTTATTTTCATCTTCTTCATTTTCTGACAAAGAAAAACTTTTAAATCATCATTTTTTTAATCCGAGTTTTTCTTGATGTGCATTTTAATTATTGGATAAAAATAAACGAACATCGCTGAATACAAAAAAAAAAAAAATTCAGGTTTGTTGTGTGTAATTTTTACCTTGATTTTACCTGTGCTTATTAACATTGGTTTTCTTATAAGTTTGTTTTTTAGCTAAATTATTTCAGTTAACATTAGTATGTTGTTAGAAATGGCAGTTAAAATAAACGATTTAAATGTTCAACTGTCTGTTTATACACCTCGTACAATAAATCGTTATTAAATGTTTCACCTATTACTAGCTTCTGATTGGTTTATTGTTTTCTATGTTTCACCTTTGTTTAGATTCCATAACTCTGATTGGTTTATTGTTTTCTATGTTTCACCTTTGTTTAGATTCCATAACTCTGATTGGTTTATTGTTTTCTATGTTTCACCTTTTCTTAGATTCCATAACTCTGATTAGTTTATTGTTTTCTATGCTAGGGCTTCCAGGACCATAATAACAACAGATTTAACTAAAAGTCTTCTTAATCACAAATAACACGGGAAGCCTAGTAATCAACTGAAACACGAAATGGAACGTTACTACCTTGTCCCCTACAACAGATCGTTACTACCTTGTCCCCTACAACAGATCGTAATTACCCTATCTCTTACAACAGATCGTAATTACCCTATCTCTTACAACAGATCGTTATTACCCTATCTCTTACAACACATCGTAATTACCCTATCTCTTACAACAGATCGTTACTACCGTGTCCCCTACAACAAATCGTTACTACCGTGTCCTCTACAACAGATCGTTACTACCGTGTCCACTACAACAGATCGTTGCTACCCTGTCTCTTACAACAGATCGTTACTACCGTGTCCACTACAACAAATCGTTACTACCGTGTCCTCTACAACAGATCGTTACTACCCTATCTCTTACAACAGATCGTTACTACCGTGTCCCCTACAACAGATCGTTGCTACCCTGTCTCTTACAACAGATCGTTACTACCGTGTCCACTACAACAGATCGTTACTACCGTGTCCCCTACAACAGATCGTTACTACCGTGTCCACTACAACAGGTCGTTACTACCGTGTCCCCTACAACAGATCGTTACTATCCTGTCTCTTACAACAGATCGTTACTACCGTGTCCCCTACAACAGATCGTTGCTACCCTGTCTCTTACAACAGATCGTTACTATCCTGTCTCTTACAACAGATCGTTGCTATCCTGTCTCTTACAACAGATCGTTGCTATCCTGTCTCTTACAACAGATCGTTACTACCCTATCTCTTACAATAGATCGTTACTACCCTATCTCTTACAACAGATCGTTGCTACCATGTTTCTTACCATACAGCGTTATTACCTTGTTTGTTAAAGGAGAGTGTTACTACCTATCCCTTACCATAGTGTTACTACCATGTTACTTACCATACAGTGTTACTACCTATCCCTTACCATAGTGTTACTACCTTGTTTCTAACAACAATTCTACTGTATGTTCATAGATATCACTATCCTTTTTTCCAGATGTAAAGACTTTCGTTCAAATGTTGTTGTTTTTTTCTATAGTTTGTTTAACTTGTATAAAAACAAACCTTTTTTTATACACACTGGGGCTCTGTCACTCCACGAGCCATCACCCTGACACCTTCGTTCCCTCGGGCCTGACATCACAAAACCTTCATTACAACTGTAGATCACTTTAACTCCAAAACCTTCCACATGAGGGCGCTGAATTTTCCCATTCTCAATATCTCCTAGCAGGTCGCAGGTCAGGTCTACGTGGAAGGAAATATTGAATTGATAAAGCGTGGTGTAAGAAAAAATGGAAATTTATAAACATACAGTAAATAAGTAAACACTTAAATTTAACAGTATGTCGGTAACAGCTCGTGAAAAACGAAAGTTTGAAAAGTAAAACTTTTGACTGACTGATACTACAGTTACCAATAATGCTGAACAGGCGCTAAAAAAGTAAAAGCTGAGACTGGCTGGTATTTCAGTAAACGACGTTCCTGAACAGGCGCTAAAGAAGTAAAAAATGAGGTTGACAACTAACCGATGGCTGTTCTGCAAAATGAGATCTCGAGAATAAGACAAGTTGTAAATAAAGGAAAATAGATCACAAGAGAAACCACTGTCGTTGAAGAGATGTGCTATCGATAATCAATACCGTTAAAAGCGCGTGTTTTGATATTAAAAATTTCATCAATCTTTCCCCGCTATGTTCTGAAAGTAAAGGAATCCTCCAAGCTAAGACCACGTACAGTTTACAAGGAGAAGCCACTAGAACGTTATTCTTGTTCTGTGATGATTTTAAAACTACTGGAAAATTAGTTCCCAAGACAATTTATTTAAAAAAACGGAACTTAAACTGATGTATGATATGCAAACTCCAAACTTGTTTAAAATGTCAAAAAGAATTATTGAAACAAATATTTATAATTTTTACAGCAGGCTCACTAATCTTAAACTGGATTAGGATAAAAATAATGATCAATATTACACATTTCACAAATGGTACTAGGATAAGATCAGTGCTAACTTATGTATTACAACAAGTGGTACTAGGATAAGATCAATGACAACTTATTTATTACAACAAGTGGTACTAGGATAAGATCAATGACAACTTATTTATTACAG